GCAGAAATAAAGCCGACAAAGGAACTTGTATAGATCTCGGAGGGGAAGCGACTACACAAAACTTTTTAAAAGTTCTAGTGAGAACGGTAGGAACTTTGCAGGAAGTTTGCAAAAGTCTTTACCGCTAATATTTAGAGCTAGACTCAAAGAGCGAAGAGGAGAAATGTTTTAATATTTGCAGGCAACTTTTGTACAGTATTTATCAAACTCAACATGGCAATCAGAATGTCCATCGGTCATAGGGAGAGGGGAGAAATCAAACCCCAGAATTCGCGAGTGATTTTTTACACACAGACTCTCCGTGGAGCTCCGTGGCCCTGGCAGCTCCGCTGACGGCAGCTGCGGGAGGAGAGGGAATTCTTTTGCAGCATTTGGACGTTGAAATTGTTTTAGAAATTGTACAAAAGGCAAAAACGGTAGGAAGGGGACTGGCGAACCGTGGGCTTGGTTTGCTGGGAGAGGGCAAACGTTTCGATGTACGACATTTTTATTTTATTTTATTTTATTTTTTACTTCTTGTTAAAAAAGCAAAAATTGCCATGAAGGTTCACACGCCGTTTGTTAATTTATGATAACTTTTTTGTTTCCAGACTTCATCCCGTTTAATGAAAAGGGAAAACAAAAACAAAAACAAAACAAAACAAAAACAAAACACCAACCTGAAATTACTGTGTTTGAAATATTTTCTTATGGTTTGTAATATTTCTGTACATTTATTGTGATGATATTTTAAGTTCTTTTTTTTTTTTTCCTCATTTTCCGTAGTTGTATTTTAAAGATTCGGCTCTGTATTATTTGCAAGCAGTCTGCCGACAGTCCATGTATATATTTGAACTAATACCATCCTTATAACAGGTACATATCCAAGTTAAGTTTTTACTCCATTATGCACAGTTTGAGATAAATAAATTTTTGACATATGGACACTGAAGTTCCGTTTGAGTGTTGGATTTATTTTTGTACCGCAAGCTGGTTTTTTTTTTTTTTTTTTTTTTTTGGTTGTGTTTTTTTTTTTTTTAAATTATTATTATTATTTTTTCAATAATTCATCAGAGGAAGGTATCCCCGCGGCCGACAGACTGTTATAAATAATGCAGCCGTATACCGAGGCATGAATATTTTTATACGTGTGGATAGACAGGGACGCAGCGCGATACGCTTTACCGGAACGGCCGTGCTCGGGGCACGGCGGTGCGGAGCGGAGGCCCCGGTCCCGTCCGGTCGGCCACTTGTTGCCGGGGGATCCGCTCTCCCTCCACGCCCGGCGGTGCCCTCTGAGCCGTGCGGGCCTTCGGGGCGCGGTGCGGGGCTGCGATGCGGGGCTGCGGTGCGGCTGCGGGGCCCGAGCGCTGCCTTTGTTCCGCACTTGCCAAAGTTTCCGCTCCTCGCTCCGGGGCAGCGCAGGAGGAGGTGAGAGGTGGGGGCGGGGGGGGATCGGCCGGGCAAAGGTAAGGAACGAGAAAAGCGGCACAGACGAGCAGGACAAAACGAGACGGGCGAACGGCGGAGACTCGCACGCGAAATGACAGCTCTTTCTTGAATCCTATTTCTTAAATTGCCAGCGCGGTGTAGCCCCAATTCGGACAATCTCTGCGGCCGGTCGCAAGCCCCAAAGAGAAGCGCTGGCGCCCGCCACGTAGGAGGAGATCTCCGCCGTCGGTGCCAGGTAGAGTTCTGCTTCGTGAGCTCGGAACCGCCGCCGCCGAGGGCCGCTCGGTGCTGCCCGGCCCGGCGGGGGCGGCGGGAGGGGAGCGGCGGCGCAGCCCCTGGCACCCGGGCGGCCCCGCGTGGGTCCGCGCTGCCAACGCGCCTGCGGGCCGCATCGGGACCGCGAGTGGGGAGGTGCGGGTAGGAACGGGAGGAACGCGGCGCCTGAGGAAGCGGGGGGCCGTGATTGCAAAGCGGTCGCGTGTCCTGCTCGTGGCTGTTGTGCTTGGAGGCACGGACGTGGCGGTTTGCTTAGGCACGGGCCGGGTACGAGAGTGGCTCAGCTTTTCTTTCTCGTGTTTCTGGTCGGTCGCCGGATTGTGATTTAGCTCAGGGAGAAACGAACGAACAACAAAAAGAAGCGGGCAGAAATGACGAAAGAAGAGTTGGCCGGCTCGCTGTGGTTTGTGTCGTTGTGCTGTTCGCCAGGCTCGGCTCCGGCCTCCGTACTTGGAGCCGGGTGCCCAGAGAACTCCCGTTGCCTGGCTGTGGGGCTCCTCTGCTCACTGTGCTGCAGCTCAGCTCCCTTTGTCCCTTTTATTTCCGCGCCGTCGCGGTGTTATTGCACATTCCCAACCTATTCTATTTCTTTTGCATTAATGCAACGAGTAAAATATATATATTTTTTTTTCAGAGCTGTGCGGCGTTTGTAATGCAGCTGGGGATTATTCACGTGGTAGTGAGCGCGCAGTCCCGCTCCTCTCCTCTCGCTGAGAAAAGGGGACTGGGAATAAAAGCCCAATCGATATCTCGATCCCGTTTTTTTAGAGCGAATCTTAGCCAATTAACAGCAATAAAACCCGGCTCCTTTTTGAAGTGCTAACTGGAATAGTCGAGGGGGGTAGCTGGAATCGTTGGTGCTTTTACAATTCGCATAAAGAAGGCGAGGTAATACCATTAAACAAAGGCACTAAACCACATATTCAGGCTTAGTGTTTTCAGCAACTTTTTATATGGGCAATTTGTTTGAGCTTAGATTTCGGACTATGATGTAAAATATATGTCGGTGAAACCTGATCTCCCTTGGGCAGATTCCTCCCATCCATCCATCCATCCATCCATCCATCCATCCATCCATCCATCCATTTATCCGTTTACTGAGGGTAACCCAAAGCATTTTCTAGGTCCAGCTGAACGCTTTTATTTTTAAAGTGCGACTTGGAAGAACGCCATTGTCCTGCTAATTTTCAATGCAACGCATTAAGTAACCCCATTCACACCTCAGCCATTATCCCGGGCATTTATTGCAGCTAAGATGGGGATAGCGGAGCCCGTGGCTGCGATTTTATCCTGTTTTCGGAGCCCTTTCGGACATCCCCTCGGAAACTGCTGCTTGCTCCATCCCAGGGCGATGCGCGGTCCATGAATGTCGGTGTAACATTTCGCCAACGTTGTGCAGAGTCGCAGTGAGCCCGAGGATGAGATTAGAGTTTCCCCTGTGATTTTTTTTACGTCTGTTTGAGGGCCGGGGTGTTAAAATATTTTGCGGAACTGGAGAGGTAGATTAGCGGGGTTTCTTGCCAAAGCCGGGAAGCTGGTATTACAGCCCGTCCCAGGGGGACATCGCTCACATTAACCACTAAATGAATATTTGACAAGGGCTCATTCGGGGGTATTATTACTACAAACGGGTCCCTACTGGACTTTCCGAGGGTCAAAGAGCAATGGTTCAATTAATTATTTAGACTGTTAGGAGATGCGATTGTAATAGCGGCGCTTATTTCTGCAACCGACGGTTCTCGAGGGGGGGAAGCGAGGAGAGGCTGCAGAGACACCTCGGGCCCCGGAGCGCGGGGCTGTGCCGGCCCGGGGAGGTGCCGATGTCGGTGCCGGTGCTGGGAGACCCCCGCGGCGACCCGGGCCCTCTGGGTGAGCCGCTTCTCGGCCCCGACGTGCGGCAGAGCAGAGCGGGCGGATAGCTCCGCGATTGAAGCGGTGTATAACGCGGGTCCGCCGAAGGAAAGAGGCCCATTGCTGATAGGTGTGATTAGATACACTTCAGTTATTTAAATCCCGAGCTAACTCTAATATTAAAATCTAAAATGCGTGCGGGATTCCCGAGAGGAGCGCTGAGCCCCAGGCCGCGCGTTGGCCCCAGCCGGGTCCTGACACCGCTGGGGGGGGAGGGGGAGCAGAAGGAGGGTTATTTTGTTTAATTTCTACAACAAACATGTCCGCAGTAGTAGATACTAAAAAAAAAAAAATGTTGGGAGTGTGCGATTAGGTGACAATAATATATGTTGAATGAATAAGAGATAAGCTGCAAGGGGGGAGAGGGAAGCAGTAATTACAAACCCAATTCATTCAGCTTTTCAGGACTTTTGTTGTGGGAGCTCCATTGACGGGCTTCGAGCTGCCAGTTTTCTCACATTAAAAAGAACTGATCAGCGCCTCAGGGGGACAAGCAACACCGCTTAACTGCATAGTGATGGGGTCCTCATTTAGAGCCATTACAACGAGAAAATTAAACAGAGCCTTTGTGTGCACCGGGTTTACTTTTCAATTGCTGACAGTTTATAGCTAACTGCTCAGAGATTGAAGTTTGATTGCGGTTTGATCGTCCGCTAGTTAGCACCGCCGCTAGTTGGGTTTTGGTAATTAAAAGCAGATTTCTAACGCTGGCCCGGGGGATGCGAGAAGTTTGGTCCTGTTTTGCTTTTGAGGAATCAAGTTCACTTGGCGAGGATGTCCGGCGCTGAAGTGAGTGCGGGGGCTTTTTCTCTTACAAACTTAGGGGGAACGGGGAGTGGGGGGAGAAAAAAAAGAAAAATAGGAAACACAGGAATGGAAATTCTCGGAGTTGTAAATGTGGCTGTGAGAACGCGGAGAGAAGCGGACAGGCGCGGAGCGGGCCGAACTCGGAGCTCCGTTTGGGCGCAGGCCTGTTCCGTGCCGCACTGCAGGGGGAGCGGGGAAAAAAACGGGGCCGGGGCGGGGGGGCACCGCGCTGCTGGGGGAGCGTGGCTGAGCCGTGGGAGAGCGTGTGTGTGTGAGTGTGCGTGTGTGTGTGTTTGCATGCGCATATCTGTGCGCGTGTGCGCCTGTGCGTGCAGGAGGAGGGGGCGTCCAAAAGAGCCGTTTTTTTTCATTCCCACTTGCAGAAGTTCAGGTGGAGATGGGCT